CTGAGGGTTTGATTCCCCGGGGAAAGATTGAATCGTTTTATTCTGGGGATTTTTTTTCTGTAGGGCTTTAGTCTGGGGATGGTCCTTTTGATTCTTTCGGCCATCCTCAAATTTTTTTTTTCCATCGATTTTTATACCACACCTTCAACTTCTTTTCTAAGACGTGGTCTGGGGGGTATATTGGGTTGGGGAAGTGGGAACCTGGTAAGGAATATGGGTTGTTCTGGGGGGAGGATTTGTAATGTAGTGGGTGGGGGCATTGGATGTGGCATGGGGGTTTTGATTTAGAGTGTTTTTTTGGGGGCACTGGGGTTGACCTGGTTGGGAGACTTCTATAGGAAGTTTTGAGGGGGGCTGTATTGACTTTTCCTGGGTCTGGGTTCCCGTCTGTCTTCCCACCCCTCCCTTTTCCTCCTTTCCCTTTTCCATCCCCTCTCAGTTTCTGCCTTTCTTCTTTTGTGTTCTGTCGCGGTCGAGAACACCTTCCCTGTTGCCGGGATGTCCCCTTAATCGTGTTTCTTCCCCCAGGATCCTGGTCCGAGTCGCTTCTGCCTTGAAGGCACTCTCACTGGCCCGGGTTTTTTTTTTTACAAACCCCCCCCCATTCTCCGAAAATTTTCCAGGGGTCATGTGTCTTTCCCATGCTTTATATGCTTTCAATTTTTTTTTTTTCCCTTGTTTTTTGCTTCATATGTTTCCCCCCTTTAACTTCCTGGAGCCCCTACACAAAGACTAAACCCCACCCTTTCATTTCCCCCTGCTATCCCCGTGTTCCCCCCATTTTAAATTTTGGGTTTCCTCCACTGCACTTTCCTTTTATCATTTTTTACTGGCTATGTACTTGGCTCAGGGGCCTGTCATTTTCCCTTCTCGGTTTCCTTGGGGGCCCGCTGTGGTCTGTTAGGGCCTCCACATAAAGTTTGCTCTTTCATTTGCTAAGTCTCCTCTGATAGGCTTCTCCAGCGTTGTGCCCCTTCTTTTCCTACAGTCCCCCCATTTGTCGAGGTAGCAGTCTCTGTTGTCAACCCAAAAGTTCTTTGTTCTTTTGGTGTTTCAGATTTTTTAATTCCCCTTCTAAACCTGTATCCTAGTCTGCGCTTTGACATGCACCTCCCCCCTTCCTGCTTTCCAAACTATCCTCCTTTTTCCCTTCTCATGCAAGTTCTTCTAGTTTCTTTTCCCCTTTTCATGATCCCTTTTTATGAGCTTGCTCCCCAAATCTTCCCTTTTGCATTTCCCTCCTCCTGCCCCTTTGGTTTTTCTTGTTGCTCTCGGGAAACCCTTTTTTGTTTTATCCTGATTGCCTCGAGTGGGAAACCATGTAGTTTTTTATGTTAGGTTAGTGTGGTATTTCAGAGTGTTGAGGGGGAAATTGGGAGGGAAATGTGGCTATGGGGAGGGAGTGGGGGGGGTGGGGAGGGGTTAGGGTAACGGGAATTTATTTTGAGGGAGGGGAGGGAAGGGGGGGTTGAGAGGGGGGGAGGGGGGGGAAATGTAATTTTTGGGGAGTCTGGATATTGGGGTGGTGCGTGTGGTGTGTGTGTGTGTGTGTGTATTTGTTGTGTGTGTGTTTTGTGTAATTTTGTGTGAATTTTTTTGTGTAATTTTTTTGTGGAATTATGTGTGGGGGGTTTTTATGTACTGAAAGTAGGGGGCTTTTCGTTTAATGTAAGTTTATGGTCCTTGGCTGCCCCAAAATTCTTTGGCCTGACCCCCCCCCTCCTGGATTACCGGCAAAGTACTTACAGTATTGGGGGTGTGTTGTGTGGTGTGTGTGTGTGGTGTTGTGTGGTGTGTGTGTGTGTTGTGTGTGTGTTATGTGTGTGTGGGTGTGTGGTGTGTGTTGTAGGGTGTGTGTGTGTGTGTATGTGTGGTGCATTGAGTGTGTGTGTTGTGTTGGTGAGTGCATTTTGTTGTGTGTGTTGGTGTGTATGTGTGTGTGTGTGTGTGGTGTGTATGTGTGGTGTGTTGTGTGGTTGGGTGTGTTGTGTGTGTGTGTGTGGTGTGTGTGTGTTGTTTGTGTGTGTGTTGTGTGTGGGTTTTGTGGTGTTTGTGGTGTGTTGTGTGTGTGATGTGTGGGTGTGTGTGTGTGTGGGTGTTTGTATGTTGTGTGTGTGTGTGTGTATGTGTGTTGCGTGGTGTGTGTGTGTGTGTGTGTGGTGTGTGTGTGTGTGTGTGTGTGTGTGTGTATGTGTGAGTGTGTGTGTGTGTGTGTATGTGTGTGTATGTGTACTCACCTAATCATGGTTGCAGGGGTCGATTCATAGCTCCTGGCCCCTCCTCTTTACTGAGTGCTACTAGGTACTCTCTCTCTCCCTGCTCCATGAGCTTTGTCATACCTCGTCTTAAAGCTATGTATGGTTCCTGCCTCCACTACCTCACTTGCCAGGCTATTCCACTTCCTAACAACTCTATGACTTAAAAAATATTACCTAACATCACTTTAACTTATCTGAGTCTTCAACTTCCAATTGTGACCCGTTGTTTCTGTGTCCACTCTCTGAAACATCCTGTCTCTGTCCACCTTGTCTATTCCACGCAGTATTTTGTATGTCGTTATCATGTCTCCCCTGACCCTCCTGTCCTCCAGTGTCGTCAGACCGATTTCCCTTAACCTTTCTTCGTAGGACATTCCCTTTAGCTCTGGAACTAACCTTGTCGCGAACCTTTGCACTTTCTCTAATTTCTTGACGTGCTTGACTAGGTGTGAGTTCCAAACTGGTGCTGCATACTCCAGTATGGGATTGACGTACACGGTGTACAGTGTCTTGAACGATTCCTTATCAAAGCATCGGAACGCTATTCTGAGGTTTGCTAGGCGCCCATATGCTGCAGCAGTTATCTGGTTGATGTGTACTTCCGGATACATGCTCGATGTTATACTCACCCCAAGATCTTTCACTTTGAGTGAGGTTTGCAGTCTTTGGCCACCGAGCCTATACTCTGTCTGCGGTCTTCTTCGCCCTTCTCCGATCTTCATAACTTTGCATTTGGCAGAGTTGAATTCAAGTAGCCAGTTGCTGGACCAGGTGTCCAGCCTGTCCAAGTCTCTTTGAAGTCCTGCCTGATCCTCATCTGATGTAATTCTCCTCAATAACTTCACATCATCTCCGGACAGGGACACTTCTGAGTCTAACCTTTCATTCATGTGTGTGTGTGTGTGTGTGTGTGTGTGTGTGTGTGTGTGTGTGTGTGTGTGTGTGTGTGTGTGTGTGTACTCACCTAATTGTGATTGCATGGTCGAGTCACAGCTCCAGCCCCCGTGTTTCTGTGTACCAGGTACTTTATGATGAACCTAGTACAATAATGATGATAATGATGTCATAACAGGAGCCATGACCAACAAAAATCTATAGTGATATTAGACGAGCAGAAAAACTGTCTCCATAATGAGAACTGTGAGAAACAATGTGCCTAATTAAGCCAATAATTTTTAATTTCCGCCGGCAACTGTGAGCCATAATATATGGAGAGAGAGAAAGAAGAGAGAGAGAGAGAGAGAGAGAGAGAGAGAGAGAGAGAGAGAGGAAGGAAGAAAGAAAGATACAGAGATGACAAAAAAATCAAGAACCACCTAAACATGAAAACCTCAAAAAAATAGCATAAATAACAAAAATAACCTTGTTATTATTAAAAATCTGCTAAACTTTGTTTTACATCAGAACATAAAGACAGTTGTTATCGACTGTAATATTAAACACGTGGCAGCAGCACTGTGTTCAACATTACTTGCGTTATACGCTACCTATGGCCTCTTATTTTCACAAATAGGGGCCCTTTGATTATTATTCTAAGTTAATAAGGGCGTATTGCCTATTAATCTAAGTTAATAATACGGGAGTATGACGTATTACACTGGTCAGAGTAGGAATTTCCAGCTAATTTTTGGTCACTGATGTCCACTCAGATGTTTCTTTATATATATATATATATATATATATATATATATATATATATATATATATATATATATATATATATAATATATATATATATAATATAAATATTATATATATATATATATATATTATAATTTATATATATTTAATATATATATATATATATTTATATATATATTTATATATATATATATAATATATATATATATATATTATATATTTTATATATATATTATATATATAATATTATATATATATATTATATATATATATATATATATATATTATATATATATATATATATATATATATATATATATATATAATTTATATATATTATATATATATGTGTGGTGTGTGTGTTGTGATCCATTAACACCTGTTCTCTCTCGCTGACACCAAATACGACCCACTACACCTGTTTCTCTCTCCCTGACATCAGGTATGACCCACTAACACCTGTTCTCGCTCCTTGACATCAGGTATGACCCACTAACACCTGTTCTCTCTCCTTGACACTTCTCGCTCCTTGACACCATGACCCACTAACACCTGTTCTCTCTCCTTGACACCAGGTATGACCCACTAACATCTCTCCTTTCTCCCCTGACATCAGGTATGACCCACTAACACCTGTTCTCGCTCCTTGACACCAAGTACGACCCACTAACACCTGTTCTCGCTCCTTTACACCAGGTATGACCCACTAACACCTGTCCTCTCTCCCCTGACATCAGGTATGACCCACTAACACCTGTCCTTTCTCCCCTGACATCAGGTATGACCCACTAACACCTGTTCTCGCTCCTTGACACCACGTATGACCCACTAACACCTGTTCTCGCTCCTTGACACCACGTATGACCCACTAACACCTGTTCTCGCTCCTTGACGCCAGATATGACCCACTAACACCTGTCCTCTCTCCCCTGACATCAGTTATGACCCACTAACACCTGTCCTTTCTCTCCTGACATCAGGTATGACCCACTAACACCTGTTCTCGCTCCTTGACACCAAGTATGACCCACTAACACCTGTTCTCGCTCCTTGACGCCAGATATGACCCACTAACACCTGTCCTCTCTCCCCTAACACCAGGTATGACCTGCACTTCAGCGTCAGCGATAGGGTGTGGCGTCAGCGAGGTGTGTCAGCCAATGTGACCGTGGCTGTCAGACTGCTCTCCCAGGAGTCCCTCGCCCACGCTGCTCCCATTACACTCACGCCCACCACGCCCACGGCCCTCACCAGGGGCTGGACACCCACGGTAAGTGGAAGGTGTCTTTGACGAACCCAGAAGTCTCTACATCCAAGGAAATGGTTCTATTCTGTCTTGAATTGAACCTGATTATACTGCTACTACTATTACTACTACCAAAACTACTACTGCTACTACTACTGCTACTACTACTAATACTATTACTAATACTACTACTGCTTCTATTAATACTACTAGTACTAATACGTAGTGGAAGCAGGAACCATACATAGTTTTAAGACAAGGTACGATAAAGCTCATACAGCAGGGAGACAGAGGACCTAGTAGCGATCAGTGAAGGGGCGGGGCCAGGAGCTATGACTCGACTCCTGCAACCACAAATAGGTGAGTACACACACACACACACATGGAGAGAGAGGACTTAGTAGCACTCGGTGAAGAGCCGGAGCCAGGAGCTGAGTCTCGACCCCTGCAACCACAATTAGGTGAGTACACCTCAGTCCCCCCCCCCTGCGGCCTTGAATGCCGCAGCTGATTCCATTCGACCAACTTCATTAAAATTCATTGAAAATATATGCACAACCCGTGTTTTAGTTTAACTTTCGGTGGCGCCATGTAACCCACCCCCACCCACACCCCAACTCCCACCCCCACCCCCAACTCCCACCCCCACCCCAACCCCCAACCCCACCCCTAACCCCCACCCCACCATCACCCCTCACCCCCACCCCTTATAAATATAATAATCTCCACCCCCAGCAAGGTGGAGGGGGTCTTGGTGGCCTTGTGGAGGGGGTGCTCCGTGTGGTGGGGAAGAGAACCCACACCGTGGAGGTGGTTAGTGTGTATGGTCACCCTACCACCCCCACTACAACCACAACCACCCCTTCCTACCACACACACCGCTACCACCATCACCACCACCACCACCACCCACACGCCGGCTACCCTACGCCCGCAGCCGCTCCCGCCCGCGGCTCCGAGGGTCAGAGCAGAAAGATGCCGCTGCGCCTGCCTGACCCCGTGCCTCCGTCTGCGTGTGTGTGGGTCAGCGTCAGAGATGTCAGAGGCGCCTTCATGGACCCCGTCAAGTTACATGGTCTGCTGGGTCTCCATTCGCAGCAGGTGAGAGAGAGAGAGAGAGAGAGAGAGAGAGAGAGAGAGAGAGAGAGAGAGAGAGAGAGAGAGAGAGAGAGAGAGAGAGAGAGAGAGAGAGAGAGAGAGAGAGAGAGAGAGAGAGAGAGGGAGGGAGGGAGGGAGAGAAGACAAAGAGAAAAAGAGGGAAAGAGAGAGAAAGAGAGAATGAGAGACATGAATCTCCCCTCCACACATACACTCGTCCCTACACTTGCAGCTGGAAGAGACGACGAAACTGAAGGTAGTGCTAGAGTCGTCAGGGATCTCTGGGCGGCGACGCCCCGAGGAACTACAGCGACCTGACCTCCACCACGACCTCCAGCACCTTCTCCATGACCTCCAGCAGGGCGAGGACGGTGACCCTTCCTCCGCTGCCTCCCTCGCATCCACCGCCTTACCTCTTCAGGTAAGACGAGAGGAAGTAGATAGAGTGTAATAGACGGCAGGGGTTTGAAGAGACATAGAGTGAGGGGGAGTAATGTAAGGGAGAGTAAAGTGAGGGGAGGTAAAGTTCAAGGGAGGAAGAGTGATGGAGGGGGGCGTAGAGGGAAGGCGAAGATATCATAATTTATTAAAGGGAAGTCATATGGTAAGCGTTTTGTATACCATCAATATAAGCCAATAAACCAATGTTATCAGATTGCCTGGCTTATTTCCATCACTGGTCTTCATGGCTTCTCAAGACTGTGACATCCTATTGATGTCCTCTCTAGATTACTATTAACCCCGATATAGATGACCTTCTCTAGTTATTGACGATTATATTCTCTTGCTAGAAACAGGTATAGAATTTACTAAGAACTTGCTTGGCTCCTGGTGTAGGTACGCGGGACCTAGGTAATGTATGTGTCATAGTAAGGAGATCCTTGCGTCCAGGGTCTCTGGAAAAACTTGTACGTGGGACCTAAGTGATATCTCATCGTAAGGAGATAGCTGCGCCCAGGGCCGCTGGAAGAGCATGTCGAACATACTGTCGGCAAAACTATGCTCACAGTCCGTAGACGTCGCCTGTCTAACTCGTTTCAGTTTATCATCAGGAGAGCGTTGCCACCTAGGAAAAACGCGTCGACGTGCTTTATGTGATCAATTCTTAATTAAATTAGTTCTGAGTGTGTCAAGCTGACTGAATGAGCGACAACCCTCGCTCTGAGAACCTGGATGAGAGATAAATAATTACGAACTCCGGGTTTGCGATGACCCTGCAAGCCGTGATTCCAGATAGAACGAAAAGGCGCAATAGCGTGACTGGAACAATATACAAATAACACGCACATAGGAGAGAGAAGCTTATGACGACGTTTCGGACTGACTTGGGCCATTTACAAGTCGGTCCAAGGTGGACACCCATAGACCTGTGTTTACGGGCCTATGGGCGCCATATTGATGAACTCTGTCTCCTCTTCTCCTCCCTGTTCTTCATTCCCTTCTCTTAACGTGAATTTTTCAATGTGTCTCACTTTTCTCTCACTTCTCAACAGGTGGTAGACACCAATGCTACGTCCCTGGTCACCCCGCGCCTCACCCGCGCCCACGCCTGCCACGCCCATGAGCCTGAGACCTGTACACCCACCTCCTGCCTCAACGGAGGCCGCTGCCTCAGATTCTCCAGTGGCAACAGGTAATATATGTGTGTGTGTGGATGGATCAGTGACCCCTGATAATGTATCAAACATGACACGTATCTAACAATACCCGCTGATTAACAATTCACAAACTGGAAATGAAAAATCTAAACTACGCTTGTACTATTTCATTATTATTTTTTCCAATTTGTGACGTTAGTCACCTGTCCCAGCCAGGGATTTGTGCTTTGCATGTGTAATATATCCCGAGTAGCACCTGCCACAGGTGTGTGTGTTACATGTGTCTCTTTCCACCAACAGGTGTGTGTCATGTGTCTCTCTCCACCAGCAGGTGTGTGTGTGTGTGTGTGTCACATGTGTCTTCGTCAACAGGTGTGTGTCATGTGTCTTCGTCAACAGGTGTGTGTGTGTCACATGTGTCTCTCTCCACCAACAGGTGTGTGTGTATCACACGTATTCCTCTTCACCAACAGGTGTGTGTGTCCTGGAGGGTCGAAGGGGTGGCAATGTAAGGTCCTGGCCCGCACCTTCACCGGGTCAGGGTGGGTGTGGGTCCGCCCACTCCCACCCTGTCTCCCCACCACCATCTCCCTCCGCCTCCTCACTCGCCAACCCAACGCCCTAATTCTGTACTCGGGTCCCCTGGCGCCCACGCAGAAGCCAGCGGGCGCCTCCACGCCCATGCTCGCCCTCCAGCTCAAGTATGGTCGCCCGCAGGTGCTGTTTGAAGGGGGCGTCGTGCCCTTAAAACTGGAGGTAAACACAACGGTTCACGACGGTGACTGGCACACGCTTCACGTCAGTTTTGATGCGCAGGTAAGAACGACTGACATGAAATAGAAAGCATCTTTTTGCTTCTTACTCTCTCTCTCTCTTCTTCTTCTTCTTCTTCTTCTTCTTTTTCACCCCAAGAACGACTGACATGAAATAGAAAGCATCTTTTTGCTTCTTACTCTCTCTCTCTCTTCTTCTTCTTCTTCTTCTTCTTCTTTTTCACCCCAAGTGGAGTCTGTTACGTTTGTTTTAGTGACTAGTGGTATCTGTACTCACCTAATTGTGGTTGCAGGGGTCAAAACTCAGCTCCTGGCCCCGCCTTTTCACTGATCGCTACTAGGTCCTCTCTCTCTGCTTCCTGAGGTTTGTCATACCTCTGTGTGTGTGTGTGTGTGTGTGTGTGTGTGTGTGTGTGTGTGTGTGTGTGTGTGTGTGTGTACTTGTACTTACTATCCCCCCCACACCACGTAGACCTCAAATATTTTTCTCAAATCATGGGCAACACATTACCATTATTCTCTGCCTTTTATCTATCGTGGATTTTCCTTTTACCTGCCCTTGACTCCATTCACTTAAAGACTATAGCATTCCTTAGTGTTAACTGGTTAATTGAGCTTCAGTCCCATTCGAAAATAGAGCGTCATTAAGGCTACATGTCACCTGTACACCACCAGTCAAGAATATTTTACTGTAAGTTTATATATATATATATATATATATATATATATATATATATATATATATATATATATATATATATATATATATATATATATATATATATATATATAATATATATACGTATATATATATATATATATATATATATATATATATATATATATATATATATATATATATTATATATATACGTATATATATATATATATATATATATATATATATATATATATATATATATATATATATATATATATATATATTTTATTTATTTATAACTGTACAGGGCGTGGCTCTCATGGTGGACCTATGTGGGCGTGGGTGGGAGCAGGACGCCCACGACGACGCCCACTGCATCGCCCGGGCGGACTGGACTCTTCTTACTGGGCAGGAAGGGTGGCTGCGTACAGGTCCTCTGCAGGTGGGTGGTATAGCCCACTCCCCGCCCACCGCCCACGACCATGGGTGGGGGGAGGCGCCCACAGCCCGCCCACTCCATGGCTGCATCTCACACCTCACCCTCAATGGTCAGGTGAGATCTGTGACCTTCCCCCCTCCCCTGACCCATGCACCATGACCCACGAACCCACGACCCATGCATCATCTGGCTGCTTATTGCACTTCTTACCCATTCATGTCCCTGGTTCTCCATTCCCTATTCATCTCCCTGTCTCCCCATTACAGTCTATGACACCCTGTCTCCCCATTACACTTATTGATTCCCTATCTATCCATTCAACTTCTTCAATCCCTTTAAATCCATTTTACTTCCTGATTCTTTATCACTCTATTCAACTTCCTAATTCCCTATCTACCCATTCAACTTCCTAATTCCCTATCTACCCATTCAACTTCCTAATTCCCTATCTACCCATTCAACTTCCTAATTCCCTCTCAACCTAACAACCATTCTACCTTGCTTTGTTAATTCCTATCAACTCGGAATTGAAACTGTTCCAGGAAGGATCGAAAGGTCATCTATCGTTTCCTCTGGTCAGGTGAAAATTAGACAAGTGCGACATCTGAGTATTTTTATTGTAGACGTTTCTCCATCCTCTGGCTTTATCATTACAAATTCTAGGACATAATTGGAAGACAGTAGAACTATATACAAAAGATGAGGTAATCAGTCCCTCAACCTTGGAGTTAGTCAGAAGAGCATCGTAGTTGTGGAAAGTCTGGAGCACATTCGAGAAAGCTGGAGGTTATATACTGGTGTCAGGTGGTTAGGGTAGACAGGATTCCCCTTTGGAAGTAGGTCATATCCGAGGGATAGGTCAGTAGAAGGTTGTGGAGATGTCCTCTGAACCAGGATTCTATGATGTTGCAGTATCTGAGAGTTTGTACATGAATGGTATGCCAACGTTATTATATGGGTGTGAAAAATGAGTTGTGAATGTTGCAACAAGGAGAAGGCTGGAGGCAGTGGAGATGTCGTGTCAGAGGGCAATGTGTGGTGCGAATATAATGCAGAGAATCCGTAGCTTGAAGATTAAGAAGGTACGAGGTTTCTAGAATTATCATCCAACGGACAGAGGAAGGGTTGTTGAGGTGGTTTGGACATTTAGAGAGTATGGAATAAAATAGCATGACTTGGAGGGCATATAAATCTGTAGTGGAAGGAGGGCAGGGTAAGGGTCGGCCTAGGAATGCTTGGAGGGAGGGGGTGAATGAGGTTTGTGTGCTAGTGGCTTGGACTTCCAGCAAATGTGCGTGAGCGCATTAGATAGGAGCAAGTGGAGACAAATGGTTTTTATGACTTGACGTGCTGTTGGAGTGTGAGCAAAGTAACATTTATAAAACGATTCAGGGAAACCGGCAACCTGGACTTGAGTTCTGAAGGTGGGAAGTACAGTGTCTGCACTCTGAAGGAGGCGTGTTATTGTTGCAGTTTTATAACTGTAGTATAGGAGTGCCTCTGGCAAGACAGTGATGGAGTGAATGATGATGAAAGTGTTTCTTCACTTTCTGGTCACCCTGCTTGGTGGGAAACGGCCGATGTGTTAATATATATATATATATATATATATATATATATATATATATATATATATATATATATATATATATATATATATATATATATATATATATATAGTATAACTTTAACTACGTAAACATAATTTAGCTTCTAATATGAACATTCTGGGATTTATTTTAGTAAACCCTAGTTTATTATGATTTATATTTTCAGTTTACTGTGAATTTATTTTGATTTTTAACAGAAAAAAATTAAGACAATTCTGATTTCTTACAGGCAGAGAATAAATTACTTTTGCTGTATTTATACAATGATATACAATACCAACAGGTGGATAGAGTAAGATACATATGCAACAGTTAGGTATCTGTACTCCGAGACGTTTCGTCTACACAGTTGGCTTCTTCAGTCGAATACAGAGGAGATAGCAGAAGCAGTGAGGTGGTCAGTCCCTCAGTCTGGAGAAGATGTGAGTTTGAGGTGTCAGTCCCTCAGTCTGGAGAAGATGTGAGTTTGAGGTGGTCAGTCCCTCAGTCTGGAGAAGATGTGAGTTTGAGGTGTCAGTCCCTCAGTCTGGAGAAGATGTGAGTTTGAGGTGTCAGTCCCTCAGTCTGGAGAAGATGTGAGTTTGAGGTGTCAGTCCCTCAGTCTGGAGAAGATGTGAGTTTGAGGTGTCAGTCCCTCAGTCTGGAGAAGATGTGAGTTTGAGGTGTCAGTCCCTCAGTCTGGAGAAGATGTGAGTTTGAGGTGGTCAGTCCCTCAGTCTGGAGAAGATGTGAGTTTGAGGTGGTCAGTCCCTCAGTCTGGAGAAGATGTGAGTTTGAGGTGGTCAGTCCCTCAGTCTGGAGAAGATGTGAGTTTGAGGTGGTCAGTCCCTCAGTCTGGAGAAGATGTGAGTTTGAGGTGTCAGTCCCTCAGTCTGGAGAAGATGTGAGTTTGAGGTGGTCAGTCCCTCAGTCTGAAAAAGATGTGAGTTTGAGGTGTCAGTCCCTCAGTCTGGAGAAGATGTGAGTTTGAGGTGGTCAGTCCCTCAGTCTGGAGAAGATGTGAGTTTGAGGTGGTCAGTCCCTCAGTCTGAAAAAGATGTGAGTTTGAGGTGGTCAGTCCCTCAGTCTGAAAAAGATGTGAGTTTGAGGTGTCAGTCCCTCAGTCTGGAGAAGATGTGAGTTTGAGGTGGTCAGTCCCTCAGTCTGGAGAAGATGTGAGTTTGAGGTGGTCAGTCCCTCAGTCTGAAAAAGATGTGAGTTTGAGGTGGTCAGTCCCTCAGTCTGAAAAAGATGTGAGTTTGAGGTGGTCAGTCCCTCAGTCTGGAGAAGATGTGAGTTTGAGGTGGTCAGTCCCTCAGTCTGGAGAAGATGTGAGTTTGAGGTGGTCAGTCCCTCAGTCTGGAGAAGATGTGAGTTTGAGGTGGTCAGTCCCTCAGTCTGAAAAAGATGTGAGTTTGAGGTGGTCAGTCCCTCAGTCTGGAGAAGATGTGAGTTTGAGGTGGTCAGTCCCTCAGTCTGAAAAAGATGTGAGTTTGAGGTGGTCAGTCCCTCAGTCTGGAGAAGATGTGAGTTTGAGGTGGTCAGTCCCTCAGTCTGGAGAAGATGTGAGTTTGAGGTGGTCAGTCCCTCAGTCTGAAAAAGATGTGAGTTTGAGGTGGTCAGTCCCTCAGTCTGAAAAAGATGTGAGTTTGAGGTGGTCAGTCCCTCATTCTGAAAAAGATGTGAGTTTGAGGTGGTCAGTCCCTCATTCTGAAAAAGATGTGAGTTTGAGGTGGTCAGTCCCTCATTCTGAAAAAAGATGTGAGTTTGAGGTGGTCAGTCCCTCAGTCTGAAAAAGATGTGAGTTTGAGGTGGTCAGTCCCTCAGTCTGAAAAAGATGTGAGTTTGAGGTGGTCAGTCCCTCAGTCTGAAAAAGATGTGAGTTTGAGGTGGTCAGTCCCTCAGTCTGAAAAAGATGTGAGTTTGAGGTGGTCAGTCCCTCATTCTGAAAAAGATGTGAGTTTGAGGTGGTCAGTCCCTCATTCTGAAAAAGATGTGAGTTTGAGGTGGTCAGTCCCTCATTCTGAAAAAGATGTGAGTTTGAGGTGGTCAGTCCCTCATTCTGAAAAAGATGTGAGTTTGAGGTGGTCAGTCCCTCATTCTGAAAAAGATGTGAGTTTGAGGTGGTCAGTCCCTCATTCTGAAAAAGATGTGAGTTTGAGGTGGTCAGTCCCTCATTCTGAAAAAGATGTGAGTTTGAGGTGGTCAGTCCCTCATTCTGAAAAAGATGTGAGTTTGAGGTGGTCAGTCCCTCATTCTGAAAAAGATGTGAGTTTGAGGTGGTCAGTCCCTCATTCTGAAAAAGATGTGAGTTTGAGGTGGTCAGTCCCTCATTCTGAAAAAGATGTGAGTTTGAGGTGGTCAGTCCCTCATTCTGAAAAAGATGTGAGTTTGAGGTGGTCAGTCCCTCATTCTGAAAAAGATGTGAGTTTGAGGTGGTCAGTCCCTCATTCTGAAAAAGATGTGAGTTTGAGGTGGTCAGTCCCTCATTCTGAAAAAGATGTGAGTTTGAGGTGGTCAGTCCCTCATTCTGAAAAAGATGTGAGTTTGAGGTGTCAGTCCCTCAGTCTACAGAAGAGTCCTGATCCAGACTGATACTCAAGTAACTTACTCATCTACTTCTATTGTCTATCGGGGTAAAAATCTGAAATTGCTTAGTTCAGAAGAAATAGATTATTTGACCTCTAACAGTCTAGTCGATTCTGCCTTGATATTCAATAGATCTCTGTCTATCGTACCGCGAATAGAACGGTTCGTATATCTTAACTATTTCTTCTTCTTCTTCTTCTTCTTCTTCTTCTTATTATTATTATTATTATTATTATTATTATTATTATTATTATTATTATTATTATTATTATTATTATTATTATTATTATTATTAATATTATTATTATTATTATTAATATTATTATTATTATTATTATTAGTATTATATTATTATTATTCTTATTATTATTATTATTATTATTATTATTATTATTATTATTATTATTATTATTGACTAAAAAGCTCTGGTGACTGCTGTAACAGCAGACTGCGCAGCTGGTATCTGTTATGTAGCGTTGTTACAGCTGGTGGACCTGGGAGAACCAGCCTACAGCAGCGGCAGCAGCGTGGGCGGCTGCCACCCACAGGAGTGGGCGTGCCCGGGTGGCTGTGGAGTGCGGGGGGAGTGCGTGGGCGGCCTGACGCACCCAGAGTGCCAGTGTGAGCCTGGGTGGGGAGGGGCAGACTGTGGCACCCCTACAGTGCCAGCCTCCCTGGGGAAGGCATCCTACGTCAAGGTGGCACTCTCCTTCACGCCCGCACCCAGGGTGCTGAAGGTACAACTTCGAGTGAGGACCAGAGGGGCGAAACATGGCCTGCTGCTCCACCTGGCTGCCCACCATCACTCAGCTGCCTTCATGTTGCACGTGAGTTGTAAGAGTGTGTGCACTCACCTAATTGTTGTTGCAGGGGTCGATTCATAGCTCCTCTGTGTGTGTGTCATGACTGTATCTGCCATCCTACACTGTTACACTTGCCCACCCTTTTCCCCCGCCCACTAACATACCCCTCCCATCCCCGCCCACAGCTCCGATCTAGCGTGGCCTGCGCGTCCTTAACGGGGTCGGAGTGGACGCCCATGGCAGCTTGCGTGGAGGGTCGTCCCCTGGGCGACGGGTCGTGGCACACCGTTGTGGCGGAGCGTCAC